AGCGGCGCGAGCACTCCAGCTCCCCGCGCCCCGCCGAAACCCGGTCCGCCACTGAGCATGCCCAGTTTGACAGTGGGCCAGGACTCTTCCCACCTCCCCGGGGTTAACCTTTGTCCTTAGACTAGAAAGGGAGCGGAGAACAAGGTGGCCACGAGGGAGTGGAAGAGGGTAGAACCCCAGTACTTCTCCAGAGGTGACTGGTTCATCCACACACAAGACAGAGCTCACCCTTGGTGATGGTGGAGTTTGGGGAGGGGACTGGAGTTAGACGTGTTTAGTTTACGAATAACCAAAATCAGATTCTACTTAATCGAGATTTGACTATGTGAAAAAGTGGAAAAGCACAATGGCAGAGGAGCTCTATTCTGAGCTTCCTTTGAGCTCCAGTAGGTGTGACCTTAGCTGAGTCAAGGTTAATTTCTCAGGGGAAAAACAGCCCGGCCTTTCTATGTCACAGGGCTCTAGGTGTGAAAGGGCCATGTGGTGAAGTGTACAATAAATCGTCAAGGGCAGTTTTCGTCAGAGGCATTTTATATGCCCCATCGCCACCCCCAGCACAGTAGATGTGCTAGAGGTCAGGGTGGGGTTGGGCAGGGACTGAGTGACAAGGTGAAGAAGTTGGGGGAGAACACTGTGTTGTCTTCACAGTCCGGTAGGGAGAGGCAAGGAACATCCAGGCCTTTGGGCCTCCCTCCTCTGAGTATCTGGAAGCTCGGAGGTCCAGAGGAACTGCCTCTGGATTCCAGGAACTTCTACATCATGCATTTATCTCCCTCTGGGTAGGGCACTATATTTGGAACAGGAGTGGGTCTAGACTGCTGCTCACTAGCTTTATCACCTTGAGTAAGTCGTTCTCTTGAGCCTCAGTTTCTTTACTTGTAAAAGGAAAGTAGCAATTCTTAGTATGGTTGTGGTGAGAATTACATGAAATAGTTTTAGTACGTATATTGCTTTGCTTGAAGCTGAGCCAAATCCAAATTTACATAATTTCTCAGCTGCTCCCCTATGAGATCTAGAAGAGACATTTTCCAGTTTCTTTCAGGCCTTCCAGCTCCTGAAAGTATGGAGTGTGAATAGTAAGCAATATCCATACATAGAAAGCTGGAAATGGCTGAGAAGGGTAGGAAGTTCAGCAAAATATAAGCTTGAGTGATTACACCATGGAACGCTGACTAGGATACATGTGCTCTTTCCACATACTCAAATATTAATGTGGTTCATCTCTTGGCATTTTTGTCTAAAACAGTGTTTTACAAACTGCAAGTTTGTGTGTTGTGAAATCAATTTCAAGATCAGCATTATTTTTTTTAAGATTATTTTTTAGAGCAATTTTAGCAGAATCGAGCAGAAGGTACAGAGATTTCCCATATACCCTCTGCCCCCACACATGTGTAGCCTCCTCCATTATCAGTATCCCCCACCAGAGTGGTACATTTGTCATGTAATGGGTAATGTAACCTACATTACCCATCATAATGGCCCAAAATTTACATTATGGCACACTCTTTGGTACATATGGTACACATAAAGGTAACATTATGGTTCACTCTTGGTGTTGTACATCTCTTAGGTTTGGGCAAATATATAACAACACATATTCATCATTATGGTATCATAGAGAGTATTTTCACTTCTCTAAAAATCCTCTGTGCTCCAGCATTATGCTTTAAATAAATAGAATGGAATACAATAGCTTAGAGATTTAATTATCGGGGTTCATTGAAGATAACGTTAAATATTGTTTCATGAATATTTTGTTTCAAATACACACATGCACAGTGATATTAAAGTTATTTCTGTAGGATGTGATCAAAAAAGTTTGAAAGCCACTGGAAAAAGTCAGATGACATTGTCTCAAAATATAAACAATCTCTGAAAGAGGCACCAAGAAGAGGTTTGCATTCGATCATTTATTCATTCAACAAGTATTAATTAAGCATTAGATTTTCCCTTTTTCAATACCCTGGTCTAAAGACCCTGAGGATAAAACAGCGAACATGAGAGATAAGGTCTCTAATGCCTTGGAGTTTACACTCTAATGGAGGAAAGAGACTGTAAACAAGTAAATATATATCTATATTAATATGAGAAGAGGGTCAGAAATTGATGGGATAGGAGTGGAGGCTAATTAAAATATATGATGCCATTTTTAAAATGTGAATGGAAATGTTCATTAAATTTCATACCTAGCTCTTGACATGAGAATATAGGAAAAATGAGAAAATGTGCAAATGGCTTATGTTATTATGACAAGTATCAAAACACTAGAGGATTATCTCAATATCTTGTATAAAACATTGAATTTAAAGTATTCAAAATAGTGTTGTCCATGATACTAATACTATGCACTCACAAGGTGTTGTGAATTCATAACGTCAAAATTTTAGCTGAGATTAGTAAAGGACATCACATATAATCAGCATGTTCTTGATCTTTACTGTCAGTAAATATCCAAAATCAACAATAAAATCAAAAAAATAGGGAGCTGTGCCTAACCAATTGTTCTGAACCTGATTTTCAACATTACCTAATAATTAATTCTTACAAATTTGGTTGATTACATCAACTAAGGTATCATTGTTCACAGAATACATGTTTAATAAAAATATATTGAGAGAGTGGGGCAGGTCTGGTATCAAGATAAAAGATAAGATTGATTCAGTTTATTTTTCACATATGTCTTAAACTAACTTATCAAAACATTGAATTTGCCACTACTTTTGAAATGCCTATAGGTCAGTTAGAAGGACATGAGCCAACACAATGAAGTCAGATTTATAAATATTTAATACTATTCAGAATAATATAAATCAGCTATTCTATATTTAGCCATTGTTCAATGACGTTCATATTATGAGAGCAACTTATACTAGGTCTATGTAAAATGGCATTTATCACAAGCAAATATTCTAACAGTAATGATTTGATAAAAGCATAGGTTAGGATGTGACACTATTTTTATCATATAAATCTTTTCCTTACATTAATAGGACACAAGAATGGTGTTTTCCATTATATTGTCAAATATGCTTGATTTCTTTCACTAACTCATAAAAACCACGGTGGAAAAGAAATGAAACATAGCATGAACTTTTTGAAGACTTCTCATTTCTGTAAGTGGCTCACACCAGTGCTTTTTTTAAAAATTTAACTTCTACCAACCTTTAACTTATAACTCATTGCAGGACTTTTCTCTTGACTGTAGTAGTCGTATTATGAAGCCTACTCCACTCAAAGAGGACATCCCTCTGTTATTCATCCTCTACTCACTAGATCTCAGAAAAAGCAAAACACTGTGACACGAAATCCTAATTTCTGCTCTGCTTCTCACCTATTGAGCTTGGTCAATATTGAACTTTTGTGGGACTTAGATCCTAAAATGGAAGTGTTATACCAGATTACCTTCAAGACTTCTTTCAGAAATCTATATATTTTGGTTTATGTTTTAAATCTTGCCGTCACTCATAATTTTCCACCATGTGCTATATGTGTAGCTTTATCAAGCTCAAATGCATTTTAAATAATTGTTAGCAAGTCCAGTTATATACAAAAATAAAAGTTTTCTACAAATTTTAATGAGCTGTTATTTTGAAACTTCAATAACTAATATATTTTTATATTTAATATATTTAATATCATTTTATTAAATGATAGCTCAAAGGTTGGTTTATCATCTAACATTGTTACTTTTATTTTCAAAATTGTATTTTCTTTTAAAGAAATTAATGGTTCAAATGTATAAAAACATAGATAAGGAGAACATGTTTTAGTGGTAGAAATAACTAAATAGATGAAATACAGTTGATTAAAATTATGACAAATTTAGAAAAGAGATAAAATTAACTCTGATGCTTTAAGACATTTAGCAAAATGATTTTGACCTATGATTTGGCTCAGAAAACTGGATTAAACTTAGTTTATTTTTGAAATTGAATAAAAGATAATGTTTGAATATTTCGTGCCAAAGAATGGAATTAAATATTCATAAGATGACAAACTGTCGTCAATTTTCTAAATAGTTCTGAACGATTTGAAAGACCTAGAATACCAGCATGGTTACAGAATATTTATATCAAGTGTGTGCAAAATACATTATTAAATTATGTTGACTCATCAAGAAGCACACCATTTTTAACCCATCCAATGACTGTCTTTTTTTTGTGTGTGTGTGAGGAAGATCAGCCCTGAGCTAACATCCATGCTAATCCTCGTCTTTTTGCTAAGGAAGATCGGCTCTGAGCTAACATCTATTGCCAATCCTCCTCCTTTTTTTTTCCCCCCCCCAAAGCCCCAGTAGATAGTTGTATGTCATAGTTGCACATCCTTCTAGTTGCTGTATGTGGGACGCGGCCTCAGCATGGCAGGAGAAGCGGTGCATCCGTGGGTGCCCGGGATCCGAACCCGGGCCGCCAGTAGCCGAGCGCACGCACTTAACCGCTAACCCATGGGGCCGGCCCAATGACTGTCTTTTAACTACTAAAGTTATCCTTTTGTTAAACTCTTTCATATTTTTAACTTTATTTGCCACATATATCATATTTATCCTTTTATTCCCGTTATTATTAATAGTAAAATAAGATGTAGAAAGACTTTAAGCATCTTTTCTTAAAAGCATTACGTTCTCTGTGTTTAAAGAAGAAGGAAATGACTCTGAAATTAGAGCTCTTTGGAGGATTGAAACTTAATGATTTCTTTAATTTGTTTCAAAGCAGCATCGTTTACTCTTCTTTCCAATTATTGGTGAGGGAGCCCATGCCCTGAGCATTGCCCTTCCTTAACAGGCCATGGCACTGAGTTCCTTCTTGTTAAGTATTTATCTTTAAAACTGTAATTTCAATGGCACATACCATAAAAATACAAGACAACTGGTAGTGATGTTCTTTTCTACTTGGTA